TCCCCCCCCCCTCCCCCAATACACACATACTGTTCTAGCATATCCCACTAAAATAAAGATTTTCTATGACTTTTTAAAATATATTAGCACCTCTTTGTGATTATCGTTTTGGCAATAACAATGTGCCCAGCAGTTTTTTAATTTTAGAGTCTGGTGAAATTACATTTTTACTCTACGTGAAGGAAAAAGAGACAAAAATAAAAATATGCTGTTATTGATCAAAGTCCACTTTCTTTCAAAATTGGAGCACACCAAGAGTGACTGAGACTGCTGAATGTGGCAGTATTGCTAGCCCCATCTTTTTGCAAAGTGGACTCCAACTAATATAGACTAATATAGCTCTGCCCCGGGCTTCCTGTAGTCAGCCGCTGGTCAGTTTCAGCAGCGGCTGAATCTGGACGCCAGTTCCGACTTACATACAGATTCAACTTAAGAACAAACCTACAGTCCCTATCTTGTACGTAACCCGGGGACTGCCTGTACTCCAATTGAGGCCTAATCAGCATAGAGCAGAGCAGCAGAATGACTTCTCAAGTCTTGCTCACAATACTCCTGTTAATGCATCCCAGAATTGTGTTTGCTTTTTTTGCAACAGCATCGCACTGTTGGCTCATATTTAGCTTGTGGTCCACTAAGACCCCTAGATCCCTTTCCGCATACTCCTTCCTAGACAGTCGCTTCCCATTCTGTATGTGTGAAACTGATTGTTCCTTCCTAAGTGGAGTACTTGGCATTCGTCCTTATTAAACTTCATCCTTTTTACCTCAGACCATTTCTCTAGTTTGACCAAATCATTTTGAATTATGACCCTATCCTCCAAAGCACTTGCAACCCCTCCCAGCTTGGTATCATCCGCAAACTTAATAAGCGTTCTTTGTATGCCAATAGCTAAATCATTGGTGAGGATATTGAAGAGAACCGGTCCCTACTCAGGTCTGTTTCTGAGAATGTGTTCAGAAGATTGCTATGGCCATAGGTGCTGACTCCAGGGCTGGAGCACCCACAGAAAAAAAATTTGGGGGTGCTTAGCACCCACTGGCAGCTGGCTCCTCTCTTCCCCCATCCCTGGGACTTCTACCTGCTGGCCCCACTGATGAACTCTTCTTCTCCTCAATGCCTACTGCCCACACAATCAGCTGTTTTGCAGCATGCAGGAAGCTCTGGGAGGGAGGAGGAGGAGCAGGGATGGGGCACACTTGAGGGAGGCAGTGAAGAGACAGAGAAGAGGTGGAGCAGGTGTAAGGACTTGGGGGAAGGAATGAGGGGGACAGAGCCTGGGATGGAGCAGGGCAGGAAGAGGTGGGGCAAGAGTGATGGTTTGGGGGGAAAGGGGCAGGTAGGGGCAGGGCCCAGGACAAAGTGGGGAGCTGAGCACCCTTTGGGCCCAGAGCAGGGGCGGCCTGTGACTATAGGCCGACTTGGCCATAACCTAGGGCGCTGCCTTCAAAGGTGCCCGATGATGCTGTTACCCCATTGATGGCCCATTGACGGCCATGGAGGTGGGGGCCAAGCAGGGAGCTTTTCTGGCAGATCCTGTACTCCTCATTTTTTGGAGGAGTACAGGATCTGCAGAAAAAGCTCCCCGCTGTCGGCAGAACCGCGGCTACATTTTACTTTCACTTTCGACAGTGAGCCTGATCAGCACAGCGTCGGAACGTGAGTATGCAAATGAAGCCCGGGATATTTAAAGCCCAGGATCATTTGTACTTCCAAAGTGCTTGATTTGCATCCCTCCGTTGGCAGAGGGATGCAGTCTAGATATAGCCCTGGTGTGACAACAAGGGTATGTACCAGCAATATGTTGTCCTAGAATCAGCTCAGTAATCTCTGCCAGTACTTGGGAGCACTTGTCCTCAGACTGACATGTGTCTCCTTCATTGCCTTATCAGATACGTGGGATGAGCCATGGGGAGAAACTGCAGTTGAAGAGGGGAACAACTCCCCATGTGCCCATTTTCATTGAGCAAATGGTGAAATATCAGCCATAGAAAGTAAGCATTAATCTTTCTGCATCTAGAAGAAAGAATAAACAGAATGCAATATAAATGTATAGATTATACTAAAATGGAAAGTGTTGTGAAAACCGGCTGGGACAAATAAATAATACAAAGAGACCTACAGTTTAATAATAAAATGAGATTCAGCATAGAAAAAGATGCAAACCAGAACTGTTAGTGAAAAACATCTGAAACACACATACTCAGTGGGAGGGAGAAATCTGGCAAACAAAATACTGCAATGAAATTTGAAATGATAGTAAACAGAACATTAGACATGAGTTTGCAATTTGATATATCTGCAAGAAGACTTTTGTAATCTTTGGCAGAAAAACACAAGGAGCCTGGGGAATAAACAGGAAGAACTAGAAGTTTTAGTACATAAGCTAAATTATTACTTAATTGGTATCATAGAGACTCGATGGGATAAATCTCATGACTGGAATATTGGTGTAGAGCTCTGTAGCTTGGTCAGAAAGGACAGGCATGGTGGGGGGGGAGGAGAAAATGTTGCATTATACATAAAGAGCATATACAGTTGTACTGTGGTCCAAAAGGCGGTAATAGGTGGTGAGAGGCAATTAAAGATAAAAGAGGTAAAGATCGAAGGTAAAGGTAAAAGAGGGGGAAATAGGGATTATGTCATGCTAGGAGTCTACTGTGGACCATCAAATGAGGAGGTGAGTGAGGAATTTCTAGAACGAACAGCAACAATATCCAAAACTCATGATCTATTAGTAAATAGTGAGGAATTCTTTAGTCATTTGAATGTCAAAAAGTGGGTTGCTTAGGAGTGGTATTGTGACGGAGCCGGCAGGCTCCTCACCCCCAACTCACCTGCCCCCCACAGCGGGCCGCCCCCCCGGGGGACCGCCAGCAGCAGCCGTGCTGGGGCCACGCACTCGGGAGACACGGCCCGGGATGCGTCACTAGAGGGAGAATCCAGTAGGGAAATGGCGCCGTAGCCAGATGCCGGCACAGGCGCTTCGGCGTCTGGGGGAGAAGCCGGCAGGGGGAGG